AAATTTACAATGAGCATTGAGAAGGGTACCTTGGTTTTGCAAGCACTAGCTGGATATGTTGGCTAGTAGTTGACATAGTTGGTTTATATATTATAGTTAAGCATAGACGCAGTTGAAAGTAAACATTATGAATGAATAGGTTTAAAGATATAGAACTCAGCTCTAGACCAAAACTCACCCGCTATCAAGCAGACAGCTGGTTATTCAGTTCATAAAAGACAGTAAGTGATATAATATACAATAGAGTTAGGAATAGACTGTTGTATTGATTTGGGCAAGTTGTATTTTGTGTGTCTGTTGTCATTTTTGATGTCAGAGTCCCAATTGAGAGTTGTTTGGAGAGTCGGGTAATAGGTTTGGGAACTGTAGTTACCTTAAGCTGGGCATAGACTTTCCCTTGATGAGATTACTGGCTGGCTCTCAAGTGATCATTGAGGCAGATCGTGACAGTTTCTTCTCGCCCGTGTCGAGGCTACGATGATATTCCTAGGCAAACGAAATGAAGTCAATTAGGGATTGGTTGATTTTATCACCATGTTAGCTAACAATAAACTTTAGTAACAACGTATGACAGGTGAACGAACAGGTTTCGATAACGATTGGATAAATTAAGCATTCGATATCTAAGCGGGGTGCTAGGCCTTGTAGTGTCCACGTGTATACGGGGGGCAGTCGATGCTGCCTTCTACATGGAGTGTCCACGTCCATTTGTAACCCTCTATGGCGTTTTCGCCCTTAATGGCTTACGTTGATCGCGGGGCGTTGGGTTCGGGGGCGCGTACTTCTTGCTTTTTCTCAATTTAGCTCGTCGTGGTCGGGGTTCTTCCTCACCCAATCTGCCTATCAACACCAATACACTGACATGAAGAATATCAAGTACGCTTCAAAAAAAACAAGATCAAATATTATCATAAAATTTATCTTTATTTCCCTATCCTGTAAATAAGTGTTCCGACAAACACCACAAAACTCGGGATCCAATTTTCCTAATGGAGGGATCTTGGTGTTAGTTGTCCCTCGTCTCTACCCTCCCTACCATAGCAACCAGAAAATCGTAGATTGCCCCTATGCGAGACTCTAACGCATTAACGCATTTCAACAGAATTCAGCATGGTACTCGACAGACAAGATAATTATTCACCGATTCATATTAAAATATAACAAAATCATTTAATTGAAGCAAGCCGTTGATCTCAAGATACATGATTATATTACAAGCGAATTATCAATTCCCGAAGATTTACCGAAACATTCAAATTCGAATTCATGATTTTAAAAATAATAATATACTGATTTTTGTTCAACAAAATAACTTCAGTTTTCCAACATAACTTACTGAAGAAAACTGTTATCTTACGCTCACGTTGGCAATAGGTTCGAGATCAATGCGATGTCAATCGTTAATATATATATATACAACAGATATACAAAATAAAATAGTCCTCACTACTCTATATTAACTCACTCATACTTCCATCGTTGCGTGCACTTGGGCCCAATATGACGTCGATGTTGGTGGGTGTGTGTAGGTGTATTATTGTATGGGTATCATTGTTGCCTTTGTACAAAGAAAGTTAATTGTAAGTATATATATAAATATTGACGTGCATATAAATGTCACAACCTTACCCTTGTGACATTTATATATATATATATATATTACTACTGCTGCTTAACTCTAATATCTATCGACTAATTTTTAATTTAATATAATACATTTTTTTTTTCATGTTTGTTTAGTTGCTTAAATTTACTTTAGCTTCGATCAATGGGAATAGATTAGGTAGACATCCGCTGATCGCAATGTCAAAAATTTAAGTTTAATGTGATGTATGTATGGATGCGTGCTTCGAATTTCGTTCAGATGGCTTCTGTTTTACTAATTGTAGTTGCTTTTATCTTTTAACTTGTTCGTGCGCTTTACTCTTTGTCAATTCTAATTCCCATTCTCTCAATAAGAGCGACGAAGGTAGCACAAAGGAGAATAAATAATCAATTACACTACGCAACACAGATTTTAAGTCATAATTTCTTGTGGATCTGAATAAACTTGTGACTTTGGTATCCATTTATATAAGTCACTTAACGCCAGAAACATTTGATGATCATCAACGAGCAGTCTCGAATGTGGCACTGGAGCACGGTTCCGAAATCTCCTTGGAGTAGATTTACTACCCTTGTCTCCGAGCAAATATGTATGCACCAAGAGATTGGTGAAAAGCGGACCAGCGCTTGCGGCAGCACCCCTGCCACGAGGCTGTAAAATTAAAAAAGGGTCAAACACCAATCCATTGATACTAGGCTAATATAAAATCACCTGTTTCAATATCTTTCACTACTTAGATTTTACAATACTTTTCCACTCGCACGTCTGCTTCAATACGCTTTCTATTATTTTTATTACTTATTTTAACTTTAGACTTCGTTTTTACACTGTTTAATCTTCTTGACGAAGTACGTCCTTTCGCTTCCAATCTGAACTGAAGACTGTCGCACTCGGTCGCCCGCTCCTTTTATAGACCTAGCTGTAACGGTGATAAAAGCTTTCGCGATCGCTCCTCAGTTTAACTGCATTATCGTATGATCTGCCTACGTGCCAAATCAGACATCAAAAGGAATATGCAAAAGTGTGTCAGCTAAGTGCGAGGGTAGCACATAAAGTTTCTAACAATCAAGAACTGTTCCCACTCGGCTACTACAGCCTTCAAACGCATAACCAATGAACGTGCGCTAATGGCATTTGACAAAAAAGGGTATTGCTATAAATTTAGTGATAGCTATCGGCTTACTGCATGTTGCAGTGGATCCTTGCCATTGGCAGAGTTTGTATCGAGTCCTACTTTTTCCAAGTTCTTTTCCGATTTCGAGAACATTTTCGTTTCCACAAAGGCCCGTAGATAGGCCATTTTTACGCGCTTCTTTTTCTCGCTGCCCCGACGTTTCGAAGTGCAAGGCATGGTCGGAGACTGCTCTGAAAGGAAAGCCCCTAATTATAGGTTAGTTTTAGAGGATGATGGATCCGAAATGCTTCTACAGCTCACCAACTACATCGGGTTGCACGGTTGCTGCTGGTTCGGGTATTTCAATGTAATCTTTGACCACAGAGCTGCCAGGACTATCCCGACTGTTGCTGCCCGGAGCGTTTTCGTGGCTGATTCGATGTGATGGCTGCATCCTCGCCAATTTCGCTGAGTCTGCAAAGCAAGCAACTGCACCAACTGATATATTAAAAGAACACCCGACGCACCTGTTGTAAAGGTACTGTAAGCTCCAGAAGATGCCTTCCTTCAGCCAGTGCGAGATGAAGAGGCACCTGAGTACGGCCACATCCAGAAAGGTGGCAGCCGAGACATCCGCCTTGGTACTCTCAGATTTATCAGTTTCCGATTCTTTTTCAGCGCTGCGTCTCTCTTGGTGGATAGTGGCTTCTCTTTGTCACGTGTGTTCATTGATTGTTCACTGCCCCGACGGCTTTGCGATTACTGCTGTTGCTTCTGTAGCAAACTGGCATCAGCCTAAAATGGACTGCAGTTGTGGTAGTTAAGGTTAATAACTAGACTAAATTGCTTACCGTGAAGAAAGAGTTATCCATGAGCTGCGGTGCGGTAATCAAACTGATAACCTGCGACTAGCTCACCTCCTCATCCTGCGGGCCGTAGTCAATGAGACCACTTTGCGGCGAGTCCGCCTTGGGCGACATGGCGTCGGGTCCCAGCAAACGCTTGCGACCCTGAAACACATCCGTCGAACCCTTTGGCGTGGGTGCGCACAGCAAGTTGCGGACCTTGGGCTTCACGGGCGCGGTGAAACATGGAGCACCCGGTGCTCGATTGTCCCACATGCCCTGCCACAGTTTAATGCCATTCTCCAGGCGAAAATTTTAAAAGTCCGATTCTTTGAGATGATGTATGATGGGCGCAAACAGATAAACAAAAAGCTGTGACCAACAATGATTAATAAGCAGTATTTAGCATCTCCAGCAATTAGAACTAACCGTGATAGTTGGCACCGAGAACAAATACTGATCCATAGCCTTAGGCTTGGGCTCAGCAGCTTCAGCCAAACCTAGATCATCGCCTCCTTCGTCATCGGCGCATTCCTCGGCGGCATAGAGTAATATCCATTGGCCCAATGGCCTGCATGTCCTTCACACGGCCTGAAACAATACATTTTGTGGAATACAGTACAGCAGAGACAAAGCCGTAAGATCTAAGACGTTGAAGAACACTTGGTTAGGCCGTGTAATATTTGCTAGTGTTATATGTATAAAAGATATTTTCGTCGACTCGCTTGACGGCGTAGTGGGCTGAGCGTCCGCCCACCAATCTCGAAGTCTGGGGTATTTGAAAGCGAATTACACAAACAATGTCGGTGCCAGCTGCTTGTTTAAACTTATTTATTTGAACCGGACAACGCCAGGTAATTTCTCTTCATATTTATGTAATTTATGACAAATCTGTTTCAGGCTTTAATTTGAAATCCAAAAGATAAAATCGTTGCTTTCAGGATACCTTCGGGAAGTCACTGACCATTCCCAGCTATGAGCAGGGGCATAGCTTGCCGGACAGGCTGTAAATTTTCCCCCACCGGGTCGGTGATTTCCCATTACTTTCCCAATACTATCTCCTTATCCTATCTACTTAACACTCTGTATATCTAGCATACAGTTCTTTACTTTATTAACAATCTTTTTACTTTCTTTTCTCCTATTTATGATATATTCTTAAATAATATAGCAAATTAAGATTATTTTTAATTTTACTTAAGAGCACTTTTTCCTACTTACACCCTTCTTCTTAGATGTAGGCTCTAATAGCGTCACTGACAAAATTAGCTGTGAAAAGGGGCACAGCTGGCCGGACTGGCAAATAAAACACCTCCATCGGTCGGTGAGGCTATTTGAAATTTGTTTTCTCTATCTAGGCTTTTAGCATCTAAATTTCATAATTGTAAATATAATGTATTGAATAATTAGGAAGACCCTCGTTTTGTCGACCACTACTAAATAAATAAAAAAATAATAAATAAAATATAGAAGGAGGAGCCTGGCGCCTCCGACTCATCCACGCCCGTATAGTCAATGTGGGAGTCCGTGTGCGAGCGCAGCATGGGCCTGCGAAAGCGAGCGGTACTGCTGCCACCGCCAGCGCTGCTATTACCACCAGCGCCAGCAATGCTACCACCATTGCTAAGTGCATCCAACTGTGAATCAATGGAGCCCTGAAAGATGAAGGAACCCTTGACTGTAGACTGTAATCCTCTGCTTAGAGCATCCTATCCGACTTACCTGTCGCTTCATATAATCCGGCGATGGAGTGGGCGAATGCTCTGTAACTGTGATGATAGGATTGCGTGGACAGAAAGCTGTGGATCGCGGACACGTGGCCTGTGGTGGTCTTGAGAACTTCGGCGGATCTACGTATCTGTAATATCTGGCATATTGTAAAATACATGCGAAAAACGTATGTGCATTGCATTAGTCGAAACGGCGTGCAAGAAACTTAAAAATAAAAGCTGTTGGAACAAGGAGTTCGGAACAGGGTTTCAAAAGGCAAGTTTCCAAGCTTCTCTGTAAATTTAAAACTCACTTTAAAATGCCGTTGCCCAAAATTCTAACTGTCAAATGTTACAACGCACTTTAGCTACATTGTAAATATTTGTAATGAGCAAAGAAAATGCAGCTGGGCGTTAAAATTAAGGGGAGCATTAAATTTACAATGAGCATTGAGAAGGGTACCTTGGTTTTGCAAGCACTAGCTGGATATGTTGGCTAGTAGTTGACATAGTTGGTTTATATATTGTAGTTAGGCATAGACGCAGTTGAAAGTAAACATTATGAATGAATAGGTTTAAAGATATAGAACTCAGCTCTAGACCAAAACTCACCCGCTATCAAGCAGACAGCTGGTTATTCAGTTCATAAAAGACAGTAAGTGATATAATATACAATAGAGTTAGGAATAGTCTGTTGTATTGATTTGGGCAAGTTGTATTTTGTGTGTCTGTTGTCATTTTTGATGTCAGAGTCCCAATTGAGAGTTGTTTGGAGAGTCGGGTAATAGGTTTGGCAACTGTAGTTACCTTAAGCTGGGCATAGACTTTCCCTTGATGAGATTACTGGCTGGCTCTCGAGTGATCATTGAGGCAGATCGTGACAGTTTCTTCTCGCCCGTGTCGAGGCTACGATGATATTCCTAGGCAAACGAAATGAAGTCAATTAGGGATTGGTTGATTTTATCACCATATTAGCTAACAATAAACTTTAGTAACAACGTATGACAGGTGAACGAACAGGTTTCGATAATGATTGGATAAATTAAGCATTCGATATCTAAGCGGGGTGCTAGGCCTTGTAGTGTCCACGTGTATACGGGGGGCAGTCGATGCTGCCTTCTACATGGAGTGTCCACGTCCATTTGTAAACCTCTATGGCGTTTTCGCCCTTAATGGCTTACGTTGGTCGCGGGGCGTTGGGTTCGGGGGCGCGTACTTCTTGCTTTTGCTCAATTTAGCTCGTCGTGGTCGGGGTTCTTCCTCGCCCAATCTGCCTATCAACACCAATACACTGATATGAAGAATATCAAGTACGCTTCAAAAAAAACAAGTTCAAATATTATCACAAAATTTATCTTTATTTCCCTATCCTGTAAATAAGTGTTCCGACAAACACCACAAAACTCGGGATCCAATATGCCTAATGGAGGGATCTTGGTGTTAGTTGTCCCTCGTCTCTACCCTCCCTACCATAGCAACCAGAAAATCGTAGATTGCCCCTATGCGAGACTCTAACGCATTAACGCATTTCAACAGAATTCAGCATGGTACTCGACAGACAAGATAATTATTCACCGATTCATATGAAAATATAACAAAATCATTTAATTGAAGCAAGCCGTTGATCTCAAGATACATGATTATATTACAAGCGAATTATCAATTCCCTAAGATTTACCGAAACATTCGAATTCATGATTTTAAAAATAATAATATACTGATTTTTGTTCAACAAAATAACTTCAGTTTTCCAACATAACTTACTGAAGAAAACTGTTATCTTACGCTCACGTTGGCAATAGGTTCGAGATCAATGCGATGTCAATCGTAAATATATATATATACAACAGATATACAAAATAAAATAGTCCTCACTACTCTATATTAACTCACTCATACTTCCATCGTTGCGTGCACTTGGGCCCAATATGACGTAGATGTTGGTGGGTGTCTGTAGGTGTATTATTGTATGGGTATCATTGTTGCCTTTGTACAAAGAAAGTTAATTGTAAGTATATATATAAATATTGACGTGCATATAAATGTCACAACCTTACCCTTGCCAAATATATTCATAGGTCAAAAGGAATATTACTACTGCTGCTTAACTCTAATATCTATCGACTAATTTTTAATTCAATATAATACATTTTTTTTTCATGTTTGTTTAGTTGCTTAAATTTACTTTAGCTTCGATCAATGGGAATAGATTAGGTAGACATCCGCTGATCGCAATGTCAAAAATTTAAGTTTAATGTGATGTATGTATGGATGCGTGCTTCGAATTTCGTTCAGATGGCTTCTGTTTTACTAATTGTAGTTGCTTTTATCTTTTAGCTTGTTCGTGCGCTTTACTCTTTGTCAATTCTAATTCCCATTCTCTCAATAAGAGCGACGAAGGTAGCACAAAGGAGAATAAATAATCAATTACACTACGCAACACAGATTTTAAGTCATAACTTCTTGTGGATCTGAATAAACTTGAGACTTTGGTATCCATTTATATAAGTCACTTAACGCCAGACATATTTGATGATCATCAACGAGCAGTCTCGAATGTGGCACTGGAGCACGGTTCCGAAATCTCCTTGGAGTAGATTTACTACCCTTGTCTCCGAGCAAATATATATGCACCAAGAGATTGGTGAAAAGCGGACCAGCGCTTGCGGCAGCAGCCCTGCCACGAGGCTGTAAAATTAAAAAAGGGTCAAACACCAATCCATTGATACTAGGCTAATATAAAATCACCTGTTTCAATATCTTTCACTACTTAGATTTTACAATACTTTTCCACTCGCACGTCTGCTTCAATACGCTTTCTATTATTTTTATTACTTATTTTAACTTTAGACTTCGTTTTTACACTGTTTAATCTTCTTGACGAAGTACGTCTTTTCGCTTCCAATCTGAACTGAAGACTGTCGCACGCGGTCGCCCGCTCCTTTTATAGACCTAGCTGTAACGGTGATAAAAGCTTTCGCGATCGCTCCTCAGTTTAACTGCATTATCGTATGATCTGCCTACGTGCCAAATCAGACATCAAAAGGAATATGCAAAAGTGTGTGAGCTAAGTGCGAGGGTAGCACATAAAGTTTCTAACAATCAAGAACTGTTCCCACTCGGCTACTACAGCCTTCAAACGCATAACCAATGAACGTGCGCTAATGGCATTTGACAAAAAAGGGTATTGCTATAAATTTAGTGATAGCTATCGGCTTACTGCATGTTGCAGTGGATCCTTGCCATTGGCAGAGTTTGTATCGAGTCCTACTTTTTCCAAGTTCTTTTCCGATTTCGAGAACATTTTCGTTTCCACAAAGGCCCGTAGATAGGCCATTTTTACGCGCTTCTTTTTCTCGCTGCCCCGACGTTTCGAAGTGCAAGGCATGGTCGGAGACTCCTCTGAAAGGAAAGCCCCTAATTATAGGTTAGTTTTAGAGGATGATGGTTCCGAAATGCTTCTACAGCTCACCAACTACATCGGGTTGCACGGTTGCTGCTGGCTCGGGTATTTCAATGTAATCTTTGACCACAGAGCTGCCAGGACTATCCCGACTGTTGCTGCCCGGGCCCTGGTACAGTGAGATCTCGATTTGTGGTATGAGCAGCGAGTTGGAGCGTTTTCGTGGCTGATTCGATGTGATGGCTGCATCCTCGCCAATTTCGCTGAGTCTGCAAAGCAAGCAACTGCACCAACTGATATATTAAAAGAACACCCGACGCACCTGTTGTAAAGGTACTGTAAGCTCCAGAAGATGCCTTCCTTCAGCCAGTGCGAGATGAAGAGGCACCTGAGTACGGCCACATCCAGAAAAGTGGCAGCCGAGACATCCGCCTTGGTACTCTCAGATTTATCAGTTTCCGATTCTTTTTCAGCGCTGCGTCTCTCTTGGTGGATAGTGGCTTCTCATTGTCACGTGTGTTCATTGATTGTTCACTGCCCCGACGGCTTTGCGATTACTGCTGTTGCTTCTGTAGCAAACTGGCATCAGCCTAAAATGGACTGCAGTTGTGGTAGTTAAGGTTAATAACTAGACTAAATTGCTTACCGTGAAGAAAGAGTTATCCATGAGCTGCGGTGCGGTAATCAAACTGATAACCTGCGACTAGCTCACCTCCTCATCCTGCGGGCCGTAGTCAATGAGACCACTTTGCGGCGAGTCCGCCTTGGGCGACATGGCGTCGGGTCCCAGCAAACGCTTGCGACCCTGAAACACATCCGTCGAACCCTTTGGCGTGGGTGCGCACAGCAAGTTGCGGACCTTGGGCTTCACGGGCGCGGTGAAACATGGAGCACCCGGTGCTCGATTGTCCCACATGCCCTGCCACAGTTTAATGCCATTCTCCAGGCGAAAATTTTGAAAGTCCGATTCTTTGAGATGATGTATGATGGGCGCAAACAGATAAACAAAAAGCTGTGACCAACAATGATTAATAAGCAGTATTTAGCATCTCCAGCAATTAGAACTAACCGTGATAGTTGGCACCGAGAACAAATACTGATCCATAGCCTTAGGCTTGGGCTCAGCAGCTTCAGCCAAACCTAGATCATCGCCTCCTTCGTCATCGGCGCATTCCTCGGCGGCATAGAGTAATATCCATTGGCCCAATGGCCTGCATGTCCTTCACACGGCCTGAAACAATACATTTTGTGGAATACAGTACAGCAGAGACAAAGCCGTAAGATCTAAGACGTTGAAGAACACTTGGTTAGGCCGTGTAATATTTGCTAGTGTTATATGTATAAAAGATATTTTCGTCGACTCGCTTGACGGCGTAGTGGGCTGAGCGTCCGCCCACCAATCTCGAAGTCTGGGGTATTTGAAAGCGAATTACACAAACAATGTCGGTGCCAGCTGCTTGTTAAAACTTATTTATTTGAACCGGACAACGCCAGGTAATTTCTCTTCATATTTATGTAATTTATGACAAATCTGTTTCAGGCTTTAATTTGAAATCCAAAACTCGAGAGTTAAGTCAAGGGTGATGTAGCCGGGAGTCGCCGACTAGGAGATGTTTCGAAATCAACTTGCGGGCACCAGGAGAACCTATGCTTAAAGTTACAAGTCTCAAGGTTCTGAGATCGACTCGTTTATACTTACGGATAGACAAACAGACGATGATGCTGACCAAGAGGGACTGAAACTGATTTATGGAATTTTCGATGCTTCCTTCTGTCTGTTACATACATTTCAAAAATCCAGGATACCCATTTTCAATTGGTCCAGGGTATAACAAATTGAGCCATTTATGTTTCCGGGAGTTAAACCCATATCAAATTTATTTTTAGTTACAGCTACAGTTTAATGCTCTGCTCCAATCACATTTAAGGTACGTGTTAGTTCATTTATATCTCATTTATACTCTGAAGGCGAATGCTTGTCTAAGCTGTTAAAAGTAAAGTGTATAAAATGGATTTAATGATCACATTTGTCTTGCTGGGTTTATTGCTGGGAGCCATCGAGGCTCAGGACATGGTATTTAGAACTGTAATAGCATATACAAAAGATAATAACTTAATCATTATTGAAGAGTCTAGATCAGTTGCAAGTGCAATTACAATCTCAGAGGGACCTGGAAGAAAAACTAGTTTGGCTTCAATTAAAACTGTCTGAGGATCTGTACAAAGATAAGCTGATAAAATCGTTAAAGGAAGCGAACGAGTTGCTAGTAAATAAAAACTGCACAAACGAAAGGTGCAATGAATCTGAACTGAACCTTCAACATCAAATAGCCCAACTACAGAGCACCGCAGAAATCCTTAAAATAATGGTTGACAATAATAATAATAATCAACCATCACCATCGAACATTATTGAAAACCAGCTACAGCTGTGTCGGTCTCAGCTGATGAAGCCATCTGCAAATCCTATTGGAGAAACTACCCCAAGAATTGAGATAGCGAAACCCACCAGCTGTATTCCGTTCGGCTATTATACAGGCATTAAAACACTTCACCTTCCCGGTATAAGTCCTTTTCGCGTAATGTGCGATGGTCAAACTGCAGGACCTGGCTGGACTCTCATTCAACGAAGAATCGATGGTTCAGAGGATTTTTATAGAAATTGGGCTGATTACCGTAACGGTTTCGGCAATATGGATAAAGAGTTTTTCCTAGGTCTAGAAAATATTTATCACTTGACCAATTATCAGCGCTACGAGCTGTATACTTTCATAGAGGCATTTAATGGCAGTATCCACTGGGCTCGGCATAATAATTTTTATATTGGTAGCGAAGTCGAAAAATACAAACTGAAAAGTCTGGGTGAAGTGAATGGCACTACAAACATGTTGAGTAAACATTTGAATTTTGAATTTTCAACCTACGACCGGAACAGTTTTGAGAACATGTCGTATGTAAATCATGGTGGCTTTTGGTATACGGAGAAATATCAAGGATGGTAAGTAAATAATTTATTTGAATATTATATATGTTTCAATGTGGTCCATTCTATAATTTCAAGCAATCCTAATGGGCGATATTATAAAACTGCTGTTAACAGAACAGACGACTTGCATTGGCAAGATTCTTCTTCGAATAAAGCAATAAGAATGCTTATTCGCCCTTATATGGGTTAAGAATACAATACAATAAAACATATTTCATATGAGTAAGTAATTGCTTTGAAGTTGACATTTTGTACTTCAAAAATTATTTTTGTATTGTAAATTCCAGATTGTTTTCAACAGCCGATTCCTAGAGACATGTCTGTAGTTTCTATGAGTTTCACAATTTTACTACTTGTTTCAATTTTTTTTTAATTTCTTCGTAAAACTTGCCGCAAATCCTTCGTTATGTGTGCAAAAAGGACAGTACTCTGAAAATTTAAGTCAGTCAGGATGAATAGTTATATGTTAAAACTATTAATGCCTTCTTTTTTGTGAATAAAAATTAAATGAAAAAATAACACAAAATGCGTATCTTTCTAGCTAAAGGGTTACCTACCTCGCAGGCTTCTTTGGATTCCTGCAATATGTAGTTGTAGTAGTAGTTGTTGTTTTGGATGTTGTTGTTATTGTAAGTTAAAGCATAATATTGTTGTCATAATGAGTATGTTTTATTTGTGTTAGGTGGGCGTGTTAGTAAATTCTAAACAAGAAATTGAAATGCGAATGCAAAATGAATAAAAATAACTATCAAACATCAAATTCATATTCATAGATCGATTATATTATCGAACTTAATGATCAGTAAAACATAAATCTCTATATATAAAACAGTTTGTCCTGACTGACTGACTGTCTGACTGACTGACTGATTGGTGATCAACGCACAGCCCAAACCGTAAGAGCTAGGAAGCTGAAATTTTCACTGTAGTTACCTTATGTGATGTAGGTGCACGTTAAGGCGGGGTTTCGGGAAAATCCACCCGCAAGTGTTTGTATGTAACTTTTTTATTTACCATCCGATCGGCTTCAAACTTGTTTTCAAAAATCTTTGTTTAAATTCATTTTAGGGGTGTTTCACACTTTTAGGAAAATCCATTCCTCCTTGGTGGAAATGGAGGTCAAAGATTTGGTGGGTGACATTTCGCGCTCAAATTCATTTCCAGAAATCTATAAGAAAAATCATTTGAGACGTGTTTCACACTTTTCGCAGAATTCAAACTTCTTCGGGGGGAATGCGCTTTAAAGATTTTTTGGGCGAAGTTTTAAGTTGTGTCCGATTTGCTTCAAACTTATTTTCAAAGCTCTACATATGAATGTAATGAATACGTGTTTCAGCGATTTGGGAAATTCCACTCGCAACAGTGGTAAATTGGCGGAAAACGTTTGTATGAGAGTTGTTTGCTTACCGTCCGATCAGTTTCAAAATCATTTAAAAAATTTTTTGAGAACATTGATTTTATAACATACGTGCCACGGGCAAGGCCGGGTTATACCCGCTAAAATACATATACATATAATGAAAAAAAAATATAGGAAATGATTTATGCTTAATTTAAGCTAGCATTATTCTAGGAAAATTTAAAGTGAATACTTAAAAGAATCTGACTTTTTTTTTAGACTTTTTGGTTTTCACGGAGACGTAAAATACTCCCATTTTCCGTTACGTAACTTCTTACTAGCAAACTTTAAAAACTTTTTTTTACCTAATCTTAAATATTCCAAGGAAACACTTCAACTTTTAGAACCGCTATCAATTTAATTTATTATTATAATTTCTTAATTCAACTACACATAAGCATACAAAATTCGGCACCTAATGAAAAACAACTAATCTTAAGTATAAAAAAACTTAACATGAACTGATTTAATTGTTCAACGAATTGTTAAGGCTAGCTTAAATATCTGTGGTTAATTTAGTTTTACGTTCAGGCTGTCCTAAAGCTCGTAGGCTCGGTCGCCGTTCTGTGATTGTTAAATGAGCGTGTCCTCGTCCTGACCCTCGAATACCATCAGCAGCGAGTGCTGCGAGGGTGAGCGGCCTAGTGTGAGCCCACCGAGCGAGCCGTCCGGAGAGAGTAGACCCGTCTGCAGGCTGTTGTTATCTCGATAGCCGGATGTGGATGATGTTTGTGAGACCGAGTCCCAGGATATTTCGCCGATGGCCTTGGGCTGATGCTCCTCCTGTGAGAGTGAAGTGACCTGTGGAATTAGTTTTGGATTAACTGAAAGCCGAACAAGAAGTCAATTGTCAAATTGCTTACAATGCTGGGCGGCTCCATGGGCGTCAGGCGACTGCGCTTGAGCCGGAACGTTTTGCGACTGGCTGCCTTGGAGCGCTGCAGGCGCGACCGTGTGTGATCGCCTGAACTATCTTCGGCGGGGCTCTCGGGTGAGAGTGGCGTTGTTGAGGTCTCGCCGGAGGAGTGTCGGAATTCCACAGATGAAACGAAACGTAATTTGGGAGGCTGTGCCTTGAACGGCGCCTGCTGCAGCGACTGCGAGTGCGAGAGCTGCGAGGCAATGCCTGGTGGCAGCGGTGAGACGGCGGCCAAACCATGTCCCGAACCGCTGGGTCCGCAGCTAGGTGTTTGACCCACTAGCGTAGGCGCTGAGCCCGCAGCGCCCTCGCCGCTCTGGCTGTCACTGGTCGTGGTATGTGGATCACGATTCGTAGAGCTGCTGGACAGGGATTCACGTGGTGGATGCAGCGTCTGCTGGGAGAGTGTATCGCTGGGCGTGCATATGCCGCCAGAGCCGCTGCGTGAATCAATGGGCACAGCGGAGACATGCGAATGTGTGGCCTGGCCGGTGGTGGTGCCCGTGAATATGGATATCAGCGAGGGTCTCTGCTGTGACTTGTGCACATCCGCAGCGCTTGTGGCTGCCGGCGTATCGCTTTTCTTTTGCTCGGAGCTCTCGCGATCTGTAGAGGCTGACTTGGTATAAGGGCAAGTAAACGTATAAATGTATTCTTGGTTACCATAGCGTTTGTCCTCCAGTTCGTCGCGCAGGTCGCGGAGCTCGCGGGCCAGCTCAAGCAGGAGCGCGCCCTTCGACTTGATCCCGCCCTGCGGCGGAGTGCCTCGTAGACGCTCTCTAATTATGAACTGCATGTGCCGCTCGTGATCGCCAATGGGTGGTTGCGAAATCTGTGAGGGAAATAGATACACTTTGAATTAAATTTATAATCCTCAATCTAGTTCATACCTTGTGCAATATAAAGGGCAGCAGGACGATGTAGAGTGGCGTGCGGTGCGTGACCACGAATTCCATGAAGCTCCAAAGATCCGGCGCCGCTTCGTTTCGCCTGCCTAGATCACGCATGACGCGCACAATACGTGGCCATTCGCTGGATAGGCGATTTTCAAAGCAGATGCACACAATGCGCAAAGCGAGGAAAGCGGCCTGATAGAGCGAGCCCGAGATGCGAGCCGGACGCTTGGCATCTCGGCTGCCCGTAAAGGTCAAGGAGCCGGCGCGCAAATCCCCAGTGACACGATTGATTTGGGAGACCACCTGGCCGGTGCGGCCAGCCGGCGGACTCATGGCATTCAGCACGGCGCTGAGCAGAAATGAGACATCGCTCATCTTAAGCTCGCCCACATCAGAGACGCCGCGACCGGAGCAGACTTTCAAGCACAGTGGCATGATCAGATGCATTAGAAATCCCTCGGCCTTTTCCTGCGTGGCAAACTCGGCGCTGCCGCCGCAGATTTGGACCAGCGAGAAACAGTCAACGGGACTGACCACCTGTAGCGCCACCAGGCGCACCACCGCCGAGCAGAAAAAGGCCGGCGGATTCTGAGACATGAGCGCTGCACCTGCGCTGGACACACCCTCGGGTATGCCGCCGCTGCCCGGCTCATTGACAATCAGATTCTGCACGGTTGAGATCAGAGTCTTCATCTGCTGCCAGTGCAGGACATAAGGATGTCTAATGATTGTCTCGTGTATGCCCTTGAGCAATCCGGCGGCCGCCTCCCAATCCGTATTTCGGCGTATTGAGGGCTTTTTGGATATCTTAAGAAACACCTTGTCGATGCGGCGAAGCACCGTGACTAAAGCATTCCGGAGTGTATCATTTGACCACTCGGCCCGCGGCAGCACCGACTGCATGTACCGCTGCAGGCCACGACAGGCCATGGACTCAGGATCGTAGGGTGACACCTTCAGCAGCGAGTGCGCAATATCCGCCAAGCGTATGTGACACTTGGCGTCCAGCACCTCTGTGGGCTTGCTATCGTTCGCCGGCAGCTTCTTGGCCAGCTCGAATAGCCGTGTGGTGGACTTGATTAGAAAATCAGCGACAACGGAGAGCAGAACATCCCTGGGACGTCGGTACTCGGTGCGTATCATTTCCGAATCCTCGGCAGAGTCCATCATGTTTTTAGTTCGCGGATCTGTTGCATATTTCGTATGCGACTCCTCCTCAAAATCCATGCCAGGCGAGCAGGGCGGTCCGCGACTGCAGTTGCGCTGCGATGATCCCTTATGCTCCGGACTGTTGCGATAGGGCCCATTGTAGCTCTTGGCCAGGCCCTCGCAGTTATGCACCATAGTGCGTATGGCTACGGCTAGTTGGAGTATTATATCCCGTTCGGATTTACCCTGCAGTGGTATATAGCTGGGAGATTGGATCTGCTGTAGATAACAGGGCAGTATTGCCTCCAAAATGATCTGATGAAAATTAAGAATCAATTGAGAATTAATCCACGTAAAGCAAGTAAAAGCATTTCTGTACCCTGTACCCAGCTTCAAACATCTATAACAGACATTCCTAATTTCTTACGGAAATATCTCTTACAATAACTTTTTTCTAATGCGAACATATTTGAAAATCAAGGCTATATACCTATACACCTATTTTAATTTAAGGGAAACGGCGGAAGCTATTAAACAAGTTATCTGTAAAGGAAATTGATATTTACCGAGTTATTAAAACCGAAGTAAGTATTGGAAAAGTTAAAGAAAAAAATTCGAACAGCACATATAGGAGAATCTCTATACATAGGTAGGTCTGAAAATTTATATTTATCGGTTTTGGGTAAGTGAAATTACTTATAATCAAAAATATTAAGTGGTTCCCTGATTTAAAATTCGATGTCTATTGCTATAATAGACTTCAAGCGGGCACATATCCACACAATTCATCGTCGTTTCAATTAATGAATACTTACCAGCATTTGGTAGCCACGCGTGCTCTCTGCCGAG